GCTTCACATCAAACAGTTAAATCAAGTGATATGTCACAGGGTGTTCTAGAGTATAGAGAGGTGGTTCTTAACCTGTGTGCTGGTAAGCTGTATTTCTGGCATTGGAGAGGGATTGGCTGGTGACTGCTGGAAGAGCACTTTGGTTTTCTCGATGTTCGATGACAGGCCTAGCTTCTCGTATGCTTCTGCAAAAGTTTTTAGAGTGGTTTGTAGGTCTTCTTCTGAATGTGCACAAATGACATTGTCTTCAGCATATTGGAGTTCTATAACAGATGTAGCAAGAGCCTGTGCAATCACCACTGATCTCTTCCTTTGAAACCAGTGATGGGAATCATGTGAAACTCCATCAATTATTGGAATGCAACTCCCATGGGCAACGGCAATTCAGTAACATTTGGGTAGCCACATGAATCCTATACTTTGTCGGAGGCTTTCATGGCTGGAATCACTGGGTTGTTGTAGGTTTTTTCGGGCTATATGGCCATGTTCTAGAGGCATTCTCTCCTGATGTTTCACCTGCATCTATGAGGATGCTTGCTATAGATGCAGGTGAAACGTCATGACAGAATGCCTCTAGAACATGGCCATATAGCCCGAAAAAACCTACAACAACCCAATCCTATACTTATTTTATATGGAGATACCAAGGACTGAAACTGGGGTCATAAGTATTCAAAATGGAATCTCTGTTCTTGAACTATCATCCCCTGGATTTGGGCAGCTACAAGGCCTTTCAAAACCTGAAAGTGTGTGCTTGGAAAACCAACAGCATCTCCAGGCAGTAGATTTAGTTTGTTAAAACCCCAATTTAGCTAAGGTTACTATGTAAAGTGAAGTGCTTTCCCATTTATCGCATCCACTGTGAAAACTGACATTACTGCATCAAAGCCATTGAAGTCATTAGAGGCCTCCAGAGCATGAAGATCACCCAATTTCAGGGTCAACCACTCTCTCACATCCTCATCCAACCAAGTCTATGCTCACTGCGAGTTCAAAGATGAAAATCAGGACATTTCTTATGCAGTTACATAACCTCCCTATTCCCATGCCAGGGATCACTGCCTGAGCTTCCCATCAACACCCGTACATCTTGCGGAAAGCTCTTCGCTCCCCGCTTCCTGTGACTCCATATCACCACCAGTTTGTAAAACGAAGACAGTTTTTGTTACTAAACTGTATGTCTCCTTTTAAAAATTAATCCTAAGAATTGTTAATGACACAACAGATCTGGCTGTCCTTACAGCTTAGCTGCTCCCTACGTCCAAATAGTTCCTCTCGGCAATGAAACAAATCCAATAGCATTTAGTGGATGGATCAGCAGTTACGGGAGAGGAAGGAAAAAACAAAGCAATGTGGCATTTGATGCCCACAGATGATTTTTATGGCTGTTGCTCAGTTTTAATGGGCTGTAATGCAGTTTCAGCTTGATGATATGTTATGATGACCTGACGTTTATGGTGTCCCTATGAAATTTTGTTCACCACCTTGGGATGAGCAGCTCTGCCTCGACTGGTCTTTAGGGGGTGATGGTGAGCCAGGAAACACTGCTTAGCAGCACTACTACCAGACAAATATTCGCGTGTTTGCATGTGTTTATAGAAGTGGGATTCCAAATATAGTTTGGAGCTAAAAATGACTCTTCCCAACATAATAGCTAATAATTCCATGGCAAATCCAGTTTTTAGTCTGAACTTTAAGGAAACTTTCCTTTTGGGCAAAGGGTTCACCTCTTTAGAAAAGTCATTAAAGTGTGGACCCAAAGTGGATTCATTGTTTGCTGATAATGGAAAGAATTATCAGCAAACATCTCAGGTCTCAAAAATCAAAAGACACAGATTATACCCCTAACAGTATTACAGAGGGGCAGAGATAATGAATACGAAGGCTAAAATCTGTTGCATACTCATATTCTTACAACTACCCTTACAGCACCAGAAAATGGGAGTACTCCAGAACATGTTTGTGCAAATGCCCTACTGCAGTGGTTCTCAACCTGGGGGTCGGGACCCCTGGAAGGGTCACGAGGGAATGTCAGAGGGGTCACTGAAGACCACCAAAAAACAGTATTTTCTGTTGGTTATGGGGGTTCTATGTGGGAAGTTTGGCCCAATTCTGTCGTTGGTGGGGTTCAGAATGCTCTTTGATTGTAGGTGAACTACAAATCCCAGCAACTACAACTCCCAAAATGTCAAGGACTATTTTCCCCAAACTCCACCAGTGTTCACATTTGGGCATGTTGAGTATTCGTGCCAAGTTTGGTCCAGGTCCATCTTCGTTTGAGTCCACAGTGCTCTCTGGATGTAGGCGAACTACAACTCCAAAACTCAAGGTCAATGCCCACCAAACCCTTCCAATATTTTCTGTTTGCCATGGGGGGTTCTGTGTGCCAAGTTTGGTTCAATTCCATTTTTGGTAGAGTTCAGAATGCTCTTTGATTGCAGGTGAACTACAAATCCCAGCAACCACAACTCCCAAATGACATAATCAACCCACCCCCAACCCAAATTTGGGCGTATCAAGTATTTGTGCCAAATTTGGTCTAGTGAATGAAAATAAATCATGTGTGTCAGATATTTACATTACGATTGATGACAGTAGCAAGATGATAGTTATGACGTAGGAAGGAAAATAATTTTATGGTTGGGGGTCACCACAACATGAGGAATTGTATTAAGGGGGTCGCAGCATTAGGAAGGTTGAGAACCCCTGCCCTACTGTCTGTGTAAGTATTTGTCTATTTCCTAAGGTGCATGAGTGAGAACCCTAATGGAGGCATGTCCCTAATTCTCAGAGAAATTCAAAGGCAGAAGTGCAAGCTAGACATTTATGAGCTGCAATTGCTTGTACAACGGTGCAACCTATCATAAGAATATGCTTGTATCAATACCTATCGTTATTTGTAGTGTGTCTTCAAGCCGTTTGCAACTTATAGTAATTCATTTGTTCAGAAGGAGTTTCCCTCTGAAGCTAAGAGAATTCAGCTTGTTCAATGCCACCCAGTGGGTTTCCATGGGCAAGCATGGATCGACGCCTGGTTTCCAGAGTCACAGTTAAATACTCAAAACACGTTGGATCTCATAAATAGCTATACAAATGTTAAATAGTATCTTGGTATACACAAGTGTTCTTGACTACTTACTACAGATTGAGCATCCCTTGTCCAGAATTTTGAAATCCAAAACAATCCAAAATTGTCCATATGGGTGGCTGAGATAACGATACCTTTACTTTTTGATGGTTCAAGGTACACAACATTTGTTTCATGGACAAAGTTATTAAAATATTGCACAAAATTACCTAGAGTTAGGTATATTCATGTTTCGACTTGGATCCCATTTCCAAGATGTAAAGTAAAGATAAAGGTTTTCCCTGACATTTAAACCTAGTCATGTCCGACTCTGGGAATGGTGCTCATCTCCATTTCTAAACTCAAGAACCAGTGTTGTCCGTAGACACCTCCAAGGTCATGTAGCCAGCACGGAGCACCATTACTTTCCTGCAGAAGCGGTACCTATTGATCTACTAACATTTGCATATTTTTGAACTGCTACGTTGGCAGAAGGTTTGCAACTTATAGTAACCCATTTGTTCAGAATGAGTTTTCCCTTTGTTTCCCTCTGAAGCTAAGATAATTTGGCTTGTTCAAGGCCATCCATGGCCATGCATGTATCGAGGCTGTTTCCAAGAGTCACAGTTAAATACTCAAACCACGTTGGATCTCATAAATAGCTATACAAATGCTAAATAGTATCTTGGCATACACAAGTGTTCTTGAGTACTTACTACAGATTGAGCATCCCTTGTACAGAATTTTGAAATCCAAAACACTCCAGAATTGTTCATATGGGTAGCTGAGATAACGATACCTTTACTTTTTGATGGTTCAAGGTACACAACAATTGTTTTATGCACAAAGTGCATCCCGAATAGATTACTGCAACACACTCTACGTGGGGTGCCTTTGAAGACGGTTCGGAAACTTAAGCTAGTCCAATGGGCGGCAGCCAGATTACTAACTGGGGCAACATACAGGAGCATACTACCCCCCTGCTATGCCAGCTCCACTGGCTGCCGGTCCATCTCCGAGCCCAATTCAAAGTGCTGGTTTTGACCTATAAAGCTCTATATGGTTCTGGCCCAGCTTAATTGTCCGAACGCATTCACTCCTACATCCCATCTCGTAATCTAAGAGCATCCAGGAAGGCCCTGCTCTCGCTCCCGTCAACAGTGCAAATGCGTCTGGCGGAGACGAGAGACAGGGCCTTCTCGGCAGTGGCCCCTCACCTTTGAAACACACTCCCAAATGAGGTAAGATCTTCTCCCTCCCTCCTGGCTTTTAGAAAGAAATTAAAATTATGGCTTTGGGACCAGGTCTTCAGACAACAGATGTATGTAGAGGTTTAGAGAGACATAGCAATGGCAATACGACTGGCGAGACTGTTTTATTGTTTTAATGCTATTGATGTATTGTTTAATTTATAATTTATGTTAATTGTGGTTTTTATTGTACCAGTTATGTATTGGCATCATGTCAGGTGCCCAATGCAAGGCATTGAATTTTGCCATCTGTGTGTAAACCGCTTTGAGTCCCCCCAGGGGTGAGAAAAGCTGTATATAAATGCTGTAAATAAATAAATAAAAAGTTATTTAAAATATTGCACAAAATTACCTCCAGGGTTACATATAATGTTTAGACCTAGATCCCATCTCCAAGATGTACATACGTGCAAATACGGGTATTCCAAAATCCAAAACATTTCTGCTTCTAAGCATGCAGGATAAGAGATACTCAACTTATATGCTACTTAAATTTACTAAAGCTCAGCTTGTAAGGTCACACTTTGTAGTCTTCTGTCTTATTTCTTCCCTCCCTCCCACTTTTGTATAATCCTCAGTATAGAACAGACACAGGCAAATGCTCCCACAAAAAAGAAGTGACCCAATCGAAAATGCATTCACCAAGAGCAGGACAAGAAAAGATATGGAAAGATAGCCCTCACCTCTGGGGGGCAGCACTTTTTTGGCTGTTTATCGTATCCAGCTCCTGAGCACTGGCACGGCTCATTGTCATGGTGGAGTTGGTCAGGCGGGTGGTGCGGCGTTTGGTGCGTCGGGGGCAACAGGAGGAGCTGAGCCCCCCTTTGCTGCCTTGCTGGGAGGAGAGAGAGGTGCTGCGGCTTGTGCGGTAGCCCAGGGGCTCAGTCAGGCAGAACTCGCTGTAGGAGTGTTCGTCAGTAAACTCATGACTCTGCAGGCGGTGAGAAATTTGGCAGGAAGAGAGGTAAGCAGAAATTAATATTTGTATAAGTGCCCCCTTTTGTATACGTTGCCCCCATGCTGTACACATTCTGGCTCTTTCATTATTGTATTACAGGATTCAAACTGCAGGAATTGAGATTCCACCTAAACATTAGGGAAAACATCCTCATGGTAAGAGCAACTGCGGCCTGGGAATGTGGTGGAATCTCTTTCTCTGAATGATTTTAAAACAGAAGATGGTTGGCCAACTGCAAGGAGTGCTTTGATGGTGTGTTCCTACATGGCCCTTGGTGTCTCTTCCAACTCTATGATTCTTATAAAAATCTAAATGCATTAAAAAAGAAAATAATAATAATAATAATAATAATAATAATAATAATCCTTTATTTATACCCCGCTACCATCTCCCGAAGGACTCGGTGGGGCTTACAAGAGGCCGAGCCCAAATACATCAGTAAAAACAGCAACAACAGCAATACAGACAATACATAAACTCATAAACAAAGCAATAAACAGTAACAATAACACCATGATGCATTAAAAACCTATGGTAGGGCCAAATGTAATAATTAGAAATTTAAAAAATGCTGGGCGTGACAAGGTGACATATAACTAGGATAGGTATTTGGAGAGAGATGGAGCGAGCAGACAATCCTAGATCATTAGTAAAGTGCGATTAGGGACATGTTGCTTAGGGTTTCCTAAGCAACACACAATATTATGCATATATAAAATGACACCAAGTTTTCATGTTGGTGACATGCTTTTTAGACATGCATCCTTTGGCAACACGGTAATTTAGTCACTGGCAAACCAGAGGTTAAATAATAATAATAATAATAATAATAATAATAATAATAATAATATATTTTTGTTGTGTCAGGACCGACTTGAGAAACTGCAAGTCGCTTCTGGAATGAGAGAATTGGCCGTCTGCAAGGACATTGTCCAGGGGACACCCAGATGATTTGATGTGTTTATCATCCTTGTTGAAGGCTTCTCTCATGTCCCCACATGAGGAGCTGGAGCTGACAGAGGGAGCTCATCCATGCTCTCCCCGGATTCGAACCTGTGACCTGTTGGTCTTCAGTCCTGCTGGCACAGGGGTTTAACTCACTGCGCCACCGGGGGTTCATAATAATAATAATAATAATAATAATAATAATAATAATAATAATCTTTATTTATTCCCCACCACCATCTCCCCAACGGGGACTCGGGGCGGCTTACATGAGGCCAAGCCCAGACAACATATAAAACCAAAACTAAATAAAACCAAAAACATAAGGAAGAAGCAACAGCAACCTAATTACATAAAAACATATGAATACAATAAATCAGCCCTTTATAAGAGTTTCATATAATATATAATATGTAAGTTTCCTATACTCTTTACTGTATAAACAAGGTTTGGAATTTTCCCTATATACTTCTTATGTGCTACAGTAAAGAGCTGCCAGTGGCGCAATGGGTTAAACCCTTGTGTCGGCAGGACTGCTGACCAAAAGGTCAGCGGTTCAAATCCAGGAAGCAGGGTGAGCTCCCATCTGTCAGCACCAGCTCCTCATGTGAGAAGCATCCCATAGGATGGTAAACCATCCGGGTATCCCTTGGGCAACATCCTTGCAGACGGCCAATTCTCTCATACCAGAAGCAGTTTGCAGTTTCTCAAGTCGCTCCTGACACGAAAAAAAATGTACTACAGTTGATTCTTGTGTAGTTTTCTCTATAGCTGCTCCATGTGCTTCATCACAAACAGATTTTCTTTTCTTAATTAGAAACTTAGCCATTTTAGTGGCATTTACTGCAACTCATTCAACAAATCTTGCAAATTATAAAAATTATAAGAGTACCTATACTTGAACATCACCGACCTTTGCTTGTGGGGGGCGACACACAAATTACTCATGCAACACACCTAGGGACTACAGACAACATACTAATGTGTCCCGAAATACAATTTGGAAAGCTCTGAACTATTAATTCATAAGGTACAAATTACTAAAACTATAGCTAAAACAAATGCATACAGAGTAAGAATAAAATACCAAACTACAAAAATGCATTAAAAGTCGACTTCCAACTTTCTTATAGATGGTGTACATGATACTAAATCCTACTCCCCTTTTATTCCTATTACCACACTTCTACTTCTGATTCCTAACTACTATTTTTCAAACTCCGCCCACTCTCTACTCTTTCCTGCAAGAAAGACAATTAATCGTTTTGGCTCTTGGAGGATATGCTGTTTTATTGATTTTTGTCTTTTTTCCTTTTGGACAGATTGTTTTTAAATGGATTCTATTCTGATGAGAATTTAACTGCATTTTAACAATACTTTTAAAGATATATTTGAACTTGTTTCTTTGTACTTTCTATTTGTATTTGTTTTAAGGTTTTCAAGACAAACTGTGTCTCTTTTTGAGAGCTACAAGTGGAGCAACAACAGTAACTTTTGAGTCACATTATATAATTTGAGGCTACTATTGTGCACCTGATGCACGTATATGGTCATAATGGCCAAATGAGGAAGGTTGAATTTGTTGCAGTATTTAATGCTCCAAGAAAATCAGCTTGGATTCTTCATTTTCTGTAAACACTAACATTTTTAATCTCTGTGACTACAGATATGTTTGGATTTATAAAGGTAGCACCCAGAGAGATCTGATAAACCAGAAGGATTTTCATCAAACTATCCATCACAAGCCTTCCCTACTAATGCTAGCTCTGCCACTGCCAGCTTAGACCGTTATCTCTGACTCTGTATGAGCACTGCTGCCTGTTGACTTATGGCCAACTCAATAATTTCAGAGGGTTTTCTTAGGCAAGGAACACTGGAAAGGGTGCCATTGCTTTCCACTGACATAAACCTCATAGCTTTCGATATTAATGTACTACTTAGGTCTGGTTCTGCTTAGGGCCTTCCAGGCAGGCCCTATATCCCAGGATCTAATGCCAAATTTTTTTGTTTATCCCAGATTATCTGGCAGTGGGGACTCATCTTTTTTCTTTAGGCGATTCCTCGTTGGCCAAGTAGTCTTCCAGGATCAGTGTTCTGGTGGGTCCATAGGTGACTGTGGAGCCCTATTCTTGATCTGCATCTTCTCCCACAGTGAGGGCACTGGTTTCCAGGTAGAAGGCAGTCTCGGTCAGGGTTGGCTTGACACACCTTCCTCTTGGCATGCTTCTCTCTTTCACTTTCCATTCGTGCCTCTTCAAATTCTGCAGCACTGCTGGTCACAGCTGACCTCCAGCTGGAGTGCTCAAGGGCCAGGTCTTCCCAGTTCTCAGTGTCTATGCCAGAGTTTTAAAGGTTGGCTTTGAGCCCATCTTTAAATCTATTTTCCTGTCCGCCAACATTCCATTTTCCATTCTTGAGTTCGGAGTAGAGCAACCGCTTTGGGAGACGGTGGTTGGGCATCCGGACAACGTGGCTGGTCCAACGGAGCTGATGGCAGAGGACCATCACTTCAGTGCTGGTGGTCTTTGCTTCTTCCAGCATGCTGACGTTTGTCCACCTGTCTTCTCAAGAGATTTGCAGGATTTTCTGGAGGCAGCGCTGATGGAATCGTTCCAGGAGTTGCATGTGACGTCTGGAGACTGTCCACATTTCTCAGGCGTATAGCAGTGTTGGGAGGACAATAGCTTTATAAACAAGCACCTTGGTATCCCTATGGATGTCCTGGTCCTCAAACACTCTATGATTCATGTGGAAAAATGCTGCACTAGCAGGTGTCGATGTTGGCTTTGGTGGAGAGGTGGCTGCAAAGGTAGCGGAAAAGGTCAACATTTTGTAATGTTACACCATTAAGCTGTATCTCTGGCATTGGAGAGGGATTGGCTGGTGACTGCTGGAACAGCACTTTGGTTTTCTCGATGTTCAATGACAGGCCGAGCTTCTCGTATGCTTCTGCGAAGGTGTTTAGAGTGGCTTGTAGATCTTCTGAATGTGCACAGACAACATTGTCATCAGCATACTGGAGTTCTATAACAGATGTTGTTGTAACCTTGGTTTTGGCTTTCAGTCTGCTGAGGTTAAATAGCTTGCCATCTGTCCGATAGATGATTTCCACTCCGGTGGGAAGCTTCCCATCAACAAGATGAAGTATCATAGCGATGAAGATGGAGAATAAAGTTGGGGCAATAACACATCCCTGTTTGACACTTGATTCCACCTTAAATGGGTCACTTTGGGAGCCATTGCTCTTCAAGACTGTTGCCATCATGTCATCATGGAGAAGCTGCAGGATGTTCACAAATTTGTTAGGGCACCCGATTTTTGGAGGACTCATATAATCCAGGTTAAAGCAGAAAACCTGGGATCAGATCCTGGGATATAGGGCCTTGCCTGGAAGAGCCCTTAGTTTCCAAGATCAAATGGGATCTGGTTATTTAGGTATAGCACTTGAATTTCTTGTTGTTGTAGTAATAGTAGCTATGCAACTTCAAAGCATTTCCAACTCACTGTGACTCTAAGGCAAATCTATCATAGGATATTGTGGGGTGAGAGCATGTAAATTGCCAAAGGGCCGAGTGGGGATTTGAATACTGATCTGCAGAACTGTAGTCTAACACTCACAGTGCAGCACCACACTGGTGCCTATGTAGACAAGATTAAATCCCATTAACTCCAGATGTATCTACACTATAGAATGAATGTAGTTTGACACCACTTTAACTGCAACGGCTTAGCGCTGTGGAATCATGGGAGTTGTAGTTTAGAGGAGCACCTGCATTCTTTAGCAGAAAATGCTAAAGATATTATAAAGCTACAATTTCCATTATTCCATAGCATGATTCTATAATTACAATTTGGATGCACTCAAAGTCAAGGCAAAAGCCCAAGCAGACAGCTGAAAACAGCACCTTGGACAGTGCCAAACAACCACTGTTGTCTCAAGCTTTCTCAAGGGCTGGGTTGAGGACCTTCTGTGCCCTGCGTGTTTTGAATTACAACTCCCACAGTCCCTTAGCCAGGGTTTCTGGAAGATCTGGTTGGTCAAAGGGACCATTACATGTCTCATTAAGTTTTCCTAGAGGCTAACAAGACTTGTAGTGTGTGATTAACTTATCCTCTACTAGAATTACAACCATCCTTGGCAGAACTGACTGGGTTTATTTTAATGGGTTATTTATACTGTTATGTTTTATCTATTGTTGTAAATTGCTTTGAGTTATTGGAGAAAGTTGATATAGAAATGCCCAAATAAAAATAAATAACTACATTGTTAGATAGAACCATAAATTCATCAAATCCTAGATTTGGAAGAGAACACAAGGACCATCTAGTGAACACACAATCAAAGCACTCCTAACAGATGGCTATTCAGCCTCTCTGTTCCTAGTGGAAGTACTGACTGTCTACTACACTAACACTGTACTTATTATTACTATATTAAATGTATACCTCGTGGACAACAAGTTAAACATGAGCCAACAATGTGATGTGGCAGCAAAAAAAGCCAATGGGATTTTGGCCTGCATCAATAGGAGCATAGTGTCTAGATCTAGGGAAGTAATGCTACCCTCTATTCTGCTTTGGTTAGACCACACCTGGAATATTATGTCCAATTCTGGACACCACAATTCAAGAGAGATATTGACAAGCTGGAATGTGTCCAGAGGAGGGTGACTAAAATGATCAAGGGTCTGGAGAACAAGCCCTATGAGGAGCGGCTTAAGGAGCTGGGCATGTTTAGCCTGAAGAAGAGAAGGCTGAGAGGAGATATGATAGCCATGTATAAATATGTGAGAGGAAGCCACAGGGAGGGAGCAAGCTTGTTTTCTGCTCCCTGGAGACTAGGATGCAATGGAACAATGGCTTCAAACTAGAAGAAAGGGAATTCCATCTGAATATTAGGAAGAACCTCCTGACTGTGAGAGCCGTTCAGCAGTGGAAATCTCTGCCCCAGAGTGTGGTGGAGGCTCCTTCTTTGGAAGCTTTTAAACAGAGGCTGGATGGCCATCTGTCAGGGGTGCTTTGAATGCAATATTCCTGCTTCTTGGCAGGGGGTTGGACTGGATGGCCCATGATGTCTCTTCCAATTCTTTGATTCTATGATTTATTTATTTATTTATTTATTTAGGCTTTTATATCCCGTACTTTCTCAACCTCCGCAGAGGGACACAGGATGGCTAACAAAGTGGCACCCCATGGCTCCCACATCAAAACATTAATAATAATAATAATAATAATAATAAAACTTTATTTGTACCCCGCTACCATCTCCCTAAGGAACTCGGTGCGGCTTACATGAGGACGAGCCCAAATACAACAATACAAGCAATAAAACAACAATACAAGCAATTAAAATAAAAAACATAGACAATAAAATATGCAACATTATCAATAAGACAACACACAATTAAAAACAGTGGGAAGGCCAAATGTAAAATTAAAATTGGAAGTAATGCTGGGACATGGACGAAAAGGTGATAGTGGTGTTTGTGGAAGGGCATACGAGCAGACCTAAAGAAATGTAAAGTGCTTTGGAGGACAAAGTGCTATGGGATCATTATTCCGGGAAGTATACAAGTAAGTAAGTATACAAGTAATATACAAGTAACAGCAATATAATAGTAACAACAATATAAAACAGTATAAACAGTATAAAACCATATAAACAATATAAAAACTGACAACAAATAGTCAGTGGTCACCAATTTAAATCATTATTCAAGGACAGTCCATCAGTTCTAAATAAGTCAACACGTCAGTAGGTCAGCCTATTCTCCAAAGGCCTGATCCCATAGCCAGGATTTTATTTGTTTCCGGAAGGTCAAGAGGGATGCAGCGGATATATGCAATTTTTTGCAAGTTAGTCTCATTGAGGACAGCCAGCATGGTATGTCATGTCAGGTCACATGAGGACAGCTGTCCTGAGTCCCCTTCAGAGTGAGAAGGGCAGGGCATAAATGTGGTAAATAAATAAATATACTAGTTCAAGTTCTGAACAAGAATGCTGGGAGACCAGGGTTCGAATCACAAGGAAATCATAGAATCATAGAGTTGGAAGAGACCTTGTGGGCCATCCCATTCAACCCCCTGCCAAGAAGCAGGAAAATTGCATTCAAAGCACCCCTGACAGATGGCCATCCAGCCTCTGTTTAAAAGCCTCCAAAGAAGGAGCCTCCACCACAGTCCGGAGCAGAGAGTTACTGCTGAACAGCTCTCACAGTCAGGAAGTTCTTCATAATGTTTAGATGGAATCTCCTTTCTTGTAGTTTGAAGCCATTGTTCCGCGTCCTATTCTCCAGGGAAGCAGAAAACAAGCTTGCTCCCTCCTCCCTATGACTTCTTCTCACATATTTATACATGGCTATCATGTCTCTTCCCAGCCTTTTCTTCTTCAGGCTAAACATGCCCAGCTCTTTAAGCCACTCCTCATTGGACTTGTTCTCCAGACCCTTGATCATTTTTGTCGCCCTCCTCTGGACACATTCCAGCTTGTCAATGTCTCTCTTCAATTGTGGTGCTCAGAATTGGACACAATATTCCAGGTGTGGGCTGACCAAGGCAGAACAGAATACAGTGCGTTTACTCTATTCTGTTCTGCCTTGGTTAGACCACACTTGGAATATTGTGTCCAAATCTGGGCACCACAGTTGAAGAGAGATATTGACAAGCTGAGTGTGACCTCAGGCCAGTTATATGCTCTCAGTCTCAGGGGAAGACAATGGCAAACCTCCCTAGAATCATTTTTGCCAAGAAAATGCCAGGGTAGGTTTTGCTTTAGGGGTGCCATACATCAGAATGTACTTAAAGGCACAGAGCAAACCTCCCTCCGTTCAGTAATGCTTGGTATTAGAAGTGTATGCATCAGACTGAAACTTTAATGAAGGAATTGTTTGCTACTGAACTTCAATTTAGTTGATGAACGGTTCGGGCGCCGCCCATCTTCGCGATCGCATCTCTCTCTATGGACCAGCGTGAACTTTAAGATCTTCCGGGGAGGCCCTCCTTTCGCTCCCACCACCGTCGCAAGCACGGTTGGTGGGGACGAGAGAGAGAGCCTTCTCAGTGCTGGCCCCCCACCTCTGGAACGCCCTTCCTGGAGAAATAAGACAAGCCCATCCCTCCCTTCTTTTCATAAGAGCCTGAAGAACTGGTGGTTTCAACAAACCTTTGAGAACAACTAGTTCTAGCTCTGCCCCAGATACTGTAGAAATTGGCCATATCTTTTTCTACCAATAACCCAGGTCACTTTCTTCTATTAGGCCCTGGAAATGTACAGACATAGACTCTACCTAATTTCCTGGGCCCTCTAAAATCGCACTAGCCCGGCCTTCTTGTTGTGTTGATGAAGGTATTAGATGTCCAGAACAAGAAAGTGAGCTAGGCATATGGTTTATTCCTTGCTTTCCAGAATACCAGAAGGGACAACTTCACTTTTTAAAGCTACTCAAGTCTGTATAAGATGAAAGCAAGCAGATCCCATTGCCTATCTTAAAAGCGCCTTGAATTCACCAAACTCAATCCTGTTTTGATCCCATCCCTCCTTTGTTTGTTTTCCCCATATATTGTTACTCACAGTAGTTTTCTCAAGGCAGTGCAACAAGTGATGGTGCTGCTGCTCAAAGGCTGAGCGGTTGCGCACAGCCAAGGCATGTGTGTCTGGATCTCTGTCCTGTGGGAGAGAAAGGAGATGAGTGCCGAATTAGACAGGATGTGTGCACACATAACACTGACAAACACACACACACACACACGTTTACTTCTAAATTGGAAGGTCTGCCTTGAATGACAATGTGCCTGTGCATCAGGATGGTCTGTGGGCGTGGGAGCATACGTGAGCAAATAGAGTGCTAGTGTATGTAGGCCAGCTTGAAAGCAAGCGGCACAGGATCATGTTATGTCTGGCTGCAAGTGGGTAACAGCAGGTCAGAATGCTTTTTCCACTGAAAAGAAATTCCCAGCATACCGAAAAGTAAAACATGCTAGATCTATACTTCTGTCTACTTTTTAATGTTGTTTTAATATTCGGGAGTGGAGCGGAGGGTTGTATTACAACATATAATGCTCCACATTCAGTGTTAAGCAGAGAGCTAGGAAAGTAAACATTGATTAGAACTGGGACATCTATATAAATAAAAATGTAATGTCAGTTTGTGGGATTAACATAACTCAAAAACCACTAGATGAATTACCGCCAAATTTGGCCACAAGACGCCTACTAACCCAAGGAGTGATTTTGTCATTTGGRAGTTGTAGTTGCTGGGATTTATAGCTCAMAATCAAAGAGCATTCTGAACTCCACCAGCGATGGAATTGAACCAAACTTGGCACACAGGACTCCCATGACCAACAGAAAACACCAGAAGTGTTTGGTGGGGATTGACCTTTTGGAGTTGTAGTTCACCTACATCTAGAGAGCACTAGGAAGGTTGAGAAACACTGGTCTAGATCCTTCTTTGTTTGAGTCCATAGTGTTTTGTGTTTGTCATGGGAGTTCTGTGTGCCAAGTTTGGTTCAATTCCATTGTTGGTAGASTTCAGAATGCTCTTTGATTGCAGGTGAACTACAAATCCCAGGAACCACAACTCCCAAATGACAAAATCAACCCACTCCAACCCTACCAGTATTCAAATTTGGGCATATCTGGTATTTGTGCCAAATTTGGTCTAGTGAATGAAAATACATCCTGCTTATCATATATTTACATTACGATTGATAACAGTAGCAAAATGACAGTTATGAAGTAGGAAGGAAAATAATTTTATGGTTGGGGGTCACCACAACATGAGGAATTGTATTAAGGGGTCACAGCATGAGGAAGGTTGAGAACCCCTGCAGAACTCCCTTCTTTTTATTCAGACAGGCTTTCATTACAGAACATTTTTAAAAAATTGGTTGAGGCTGCTGTATTGTTTTAAATTGCTTTTTATATTTTCAATTACATCTTATCTTTCTAAGCGTCAGCTTAAATGGTTTTAATATTATGAATAGTTTAATCTCATTGTAATGTTCACTTCTGGCATATTTTTAGCTGTATTGTTCTTCTTTTTTTCAAAAGTAAGCTGTCTTGAGTCCCAATCTTGGGAGAATAATGAGATATAAACAATGATAGGGCGTGAAGGGTGGGCATTCTATGTCTATACCAGGGGTCCTCAAACTAAGGCCCGGGGGTTGAATACGGCCCTCCAAGATCATTTACCCGGCCCTCGCTTAGGGTCAATCTAAGTCTGAAATGACTTGAAAGCACAGAATAACAACAACAATCCTATCTCATCAGCCAAAAGCAGGCCCACACTTCCCATTGAAATACTAATAAGTTTATATATTTTAAATTGTTCTTTATTTTAATTACTGTATTGCTTTTAAATGTTTTTTTTTTTGCATTACAAATAATATATGTGCAGTGTGCATATGAATTCACTCATGTTTTTTTTTTCTTCAAATTATAATCTGGTCCTCCAACAGTTTGAGGGACTGTGACCTGGCCCTCTGTTTGAAAAGTTTGTGGACCCCTGGTGTATACTATGAAAATCATGTGGCACATGTAATCATGTGGCACATGTAATCATGTGGCACATGTAAACATGTGGCACATGTTCAGACCCTCAGTGAGTTCACAGCACACTAAAAGGGCAGGGAAATGGAAAGGAAGGAAGTACTGGCAGATAGTGGAAAAGAAAAGAAGATGGGCCCCCAATCACTATAGGATCTTGGTCTGCCCATCACTGCCTCTCCTTGGGGTACAGTCTCTGAGAGATTACCCATAGGACAAGGGAATATACATCCCAGGATGAGAAAAGAATCCCAAATCCTTGCTGGAATCCCTTAGGAAGATAAAGGCTAGGAGACCTGCTACTCTGGACAGCTCCAACAGGAGTTGCGGGCAAGTAGTGGGAGGAAAGGAGGGGAGGGAATGTTAATTTTATATTCATACTCTTGATTTAATTTTCCAAAGTAAACCCCAGGCAACTAAGATTTGCCAGAGTCCTGGAACCACTGAGAATGTGATTAAAACTATAGTCACAACATCTCTCCCCACTCAAGTTATGAACAAGATAGGTTCTGTAGGTTTGTAACTCCACCCTCTCTCTCTCTCTCTCTCTGTCTCTCTTTCACACACACTATCTATCTATCTATCTATCTATCTCTATCTATCTATCTATCTATCTAAGCTTTGGATAGCATAGGCAAGGGTTAACACGCTTGTGGTATTTGTTTTGCTGTCTGTGCCCCTGTTCAGAAGATTTCATCCCACTTTCTGTCCTTTGTGACAATTAGATTTTGAAACAAATGGCTTGTTGCGGAAACAAGGAATGGTAATCAAGCTTCAGTGGAGACCCCTTTCCCCCATGATAACTCTTTCAGGAGTGAATTTCCATTCCGAGGGGTAGATTTCTCTCACTTCCTGTAGTCTCACCCCTATTCTTAACTATGAATTGTTTTAAAGTCAGATGGTTGTAACTCAGGGACTGCCTGTAACAGGAATGAAATTGAAGAGAAGATTATTTCTTTGCTATTCTTTCCTGTTTGTGAACCCCTTAAGTCAGTGGTTTTCAACCTGTGGGTCCCCAGGTGTTTTGGCCTACAACTCCCAGAAATCCCAGCCAGTTTACCAGCTGTTAGGATTTCTGGGAGTTGAAGGCCAAAACATCTGGGGACCCACAGGTTGAGAACCACTGCCTTAAGCCTATTGATGAAACCTTGGTAGACCACAGGTTATGAGCTCCTGAGCTAAGGAAAAAATATAATAATTCCAAAGGGGCCAAATGTACAGGAAAGCGAACCTGCAGTGTGCAACCATACCTCAAGGCCTCCATTCTGTTTATACTGAAGGAAAGCATTAGTAGTGCCACTTTTGGCCAGACGGATCCGGGTCAGGCGAACTTTCTGCAAGGGGGAAAGAAGAGAGAGAGAGAGAGAGAGAGAGAGAGAAAGAGATGTATGGAAAGAGAGTCAACGAAGGATCCTTCCCCTGTACACTCTGCCTGCCCCCTCCCCTCTTTGCCTTTTATCCACTTCTTGCTTTTTCTCAGTTACCTGCTGCGCTCGTCGCTTATCTGCCCGCTGGTTCTGGTGGTAGATCCGGCTGAAGTTGGAAACGATGACAGGAACAGGGAGGGCGATGACCAGCACCCCGCTAAGGGAGCAGATGGAGCCAAAGATCTTCCCTGCGATGGTGCTTGGGACCATGTCACCGTAGCTGGAAGGGATACAGCAGTTACTATAGCTCTTTGTGTATTCCCTTACTTGGCCCGAACTGACAATTGTTCATGTACACAAAGAAGTCCCTTCTGTCTCATAGTACTAAAAGGCCGAACACTTTCCTAGAGCCAGAGCTTAGTAAAATCACTTTTTAACCCTTTTAATCAATCTAGTCAGAAAATGCTGTTTGGGAATTATAGTCCAGAAAAGAAACTTTTATAGTCTCCAACCTTTCTCAGAGCTTGGACCTATGTGGCCACACAATATCAGAGTAGACTTAGGATGGAAAAAGCTATGAAGAAGACAAAGGTTAGAAGAGGCTGCAGCAGTTTGCTTTTGTCTGAGCACTGTTTAACACACTTTCCCTCCCACTGAGTAAACGCAGTTCAGATTGCTTTTGGAATCTGAAGTAAGTTTACAACAGATGAAGTACCCTATATTCCGACATATAAGACGATTGGGCGTATAAGACGACCCCCAAGTTTTCCAGTTAAAATATAGAGTTTGGGATATACTCGCCGTATAAGACTACCCCTCTTCCAACACACACCAAATAAAATTATTTAAAAGCACCAGATTTGATTTCAATATGGCAATTTTCCTATTACTGTACCTTCTTTTCTGCCTCTCAGATCTCGCACATGCGCACCTGCACCACTTCACTGCAGTCTTCAGGAGCAAGATCTGAGAGGCAGAGGAGGAGGTACGGTAATAGGATACAAGGGCAGGCCAGACAGGTAAATAAAAATGTGTTTTTCTGGGCCCTTTTTTCCATAACCCGGGCACCCCAGACGCCTGCAGCTTGCTCCGCCCTTCACTTACACCTTCCCGGTGAGGCGCCTCTTCACCTCACCATTGGGACCGCATTAAGTTCACGAATCCTGATGAATGGATTTTCTTCTACCATACTTGTACAGCGTCGCCCTTAATGCTTTCATACAGTCGCTGCATACGGCAGGGACACGGCCACTGCCACTTTTGAGCTTCGCCCACAATATGCAGCAACCACAGACTCTCCAATCCGGACTGGAAGTTTCAGCACCCGTTCGATAAGACGGCTCCTGGCGTATAAGACTACCCCCGCATATAAGACTATATATATATGACTACTCCCATGCATAAGACTATAAGACTACTCCCATGCATAAGGCTACTCCTGCGTATAAGACAACTCCCGCGTATAAGACAACCCCTGACTTTTGAGAAGATTTTCTTGGGTTAAAAAGCAATCTTATACGCCAGAATATACGGTAGGTGGAGAATAAGGAGGAAAATGAGCAAAGGAGAGAAAAACTAGGGCAACTGAGAAAAACTGAGACAAATGGCCAGATGGCCATCTGTTGGGGGTGATTTGAATGCGATTTTCCTGCTTCTTGGCAGGGGGTTGGACTGGATGGCCCACGAGATCTCTTCCACCTCTATGATTCTATGAAAAGCAACTGAAATAGCAGGATGACCAGAGCACATGGGGCAATCTCTGCCAAGTCATGACAGTTGGAGAGTCTGAAAAGGCACCCATCTCCCAACGAACCAAAATATCCACCAAAATAATGTGTAGGTGAGTTATTGTGTCAGTGGAGTCAAGAAATCCAATTAGCATGTCTTCTCATCCCAGGTGGTAAAAAAAAGAGAGGAATGAAGTAAAAAAAGTAACAATTGGCGGCTCTTTTACAAAATCCAAAACCTCCGTTCACACCCTTTCCGCTGGAACGGGGCATCTTCTCAACTTTTCTCAGCATTTAGCATATTACAAAATTAGAAGGCTGTGGTCGTGACAGAGGAGGAGGGTGGGGATGTGCGTGAAATGTTGGATGGGATGTCAGAGTTTCCACTTTTCCTCCTCACGCACTGGGAACTGCAGCGCCACACCAAAGCAAGCAAGGGTTTCCTGATCTCTTTAGCCTTCAAGCTGTGAAAATCTTAACCTGCATGGCAGGTTGCTATCAAAGACACCAGAGGACAACCAAGAATAAGTCACAGCAACCCTAACAGATAGTATGTCTTTCAGGAGTTGCATAAGGATTACATAAGCATGGGATTTCACATTTAGCATATAAGTGAACTTTCTTCATCCCCTTTCTCTCCTTTGCTTTTGCAATCTGTCCTCTATTAGTCCACAGACCAGCTTGAAACCTGCAAGCAATGCCTGATGGGGGGAAACATCACATTGTTTCCCCCCATCAGGCATTGCTTGAACCAATGTAGGGACAACCAAGGCTTTCACTGTTTCGGGGTGTCCCAGACATTTTATTCCAGCAGAAATGAAATTCCATACTCACCCAAGGCAAGGTTCATAGTACGAGGTCTTCTTAAACCTTTTCCACTCAGGATCCCTTCCTGCCTCAGACATGTTTACTTAACCTCAGGTATATAGGTATATGAAAAAGTTATAAACACCACACTTTTGCCGATAAATAGACCAGCATTTCCAAGACTCGCTAAACAGGCTGAGTTTCCTTTTTGTGGAGTATTTATTTATTTATTTATTTAAAATTTATTTATTTATTTAAAATGAACAAAATCTGGTATTAAAAAACTCTAAAATTACAACAGCAAAACAATAGACAGGAAACCATCAGGGACACCTAATCACCTCTCAACAAAAGATTGCCCCAGGCACTGCCAGGCCATCAAATGCTAATCAAGGTGGTCAGTTGAATCATTCACACCTAGCTCCAGCAGACAAGAGTCTTTTGTCCCACCCTGGTCTTTCCACAGATATATAAACCCCTTTTTCCTAGTTCCAACAGACCTCACTACCTCTGAGGATGCTTGCCATAGGTGCAGGCGAAACGTCAGGAGAGAATGCCTCTAGAACATGGCCATATAGCCCGAAAAAACCTACAACAACCCAGTGATTCCAGCCATGAAAGCCTTCAACAATATATATATTTATTTATTTACTATATTTATATACCGCTTTTCTCAGCCCATGGGCTATTCAAAGCGGTTTACAGAAGCAAAATTCAATGCTCAAAACATCATAAAACGATTAAAATAATTAAAAACAATTGCACAAATATACAATCATCACAAAGCCAATAAAACATAACTCATTAGCATCTCTTAGTTAAAATCAAGATCCAATCTCATCATCCACTCGTTCCATATTCCTATGTTTGTTACACTGCCTTTTCAAATGTCTGCTCAAACAACCAGGTCTTAACTTTCCTCTAAAATGCTAACAAGGAAGGGGCTGATCTAATGTCTCTAGGAAGGGCGTTCCATACCCAAGGGGCCACCACTGAGAAGGCCCTGTCTCTCATCCCCGCCAAACGTATTTGTGACGTAGGTGAGATCAAGAACAGGGCCTCCCCAGATGATTTCTGTACAGAGTACAGCTGAAGCATTTTCTGCAGAGTCTACTATAAACAGCGCACATTGTGGCTAAGAGATTTGCATAAATGGGTGGCATCAAGAAACGTTTTATACCATTTTTTCACAACACCAACATTGAGCTAAAAAAACCCTATTGGGAGTCAGGACCCACTTTGCAATGCCATAGTTATTTTGACATCTCAGGCATTTGTTTCCCAGCCACAAGTGCTTTCTTCTATCTATTAACTGGAGAAAACAACAAATCATAATTTTTTTTGATCTCTGGAGACCTTTCTTGGAGTATGGAGCACTCTAATAGCATCATCTTAGGCAATGGCTTGAGATGTGCTGCTGGATTTTGAAGACCCTGCCTGTCAAATCTTTGGCATTGTATACATTTTCTAACAATGTGGGATTTTCTTGAGCAATTGAAATGCTGTTGGTTACCAAATTCCTTCTGGTGTAAGTCAAGTGCCTCTTGATACATGGCTTTGTGTGGAGTAGTGGTGTGAGCATCGAACTATGACTCAGGAGACCTGGTTCAGTTCCTTGCTCAGCCAAGGAAACCCATTAAGTGACCTTGGGCAAGTCACACTCTCTCGGCCCCAGAAAATGCCTCAAAAAGGTAAAGGTAAAGGTTTCCCCTTGACATTAAGTCTAATCATGTCCGACTCTGGGGGGTGGTGCTTATCTCCATTCCTAAGCTTGAAGAGCCAGCATTGTTCGTAGATGCCTTCAAGGTCATGAGTCCAGTATGACTTCATGGAGCGCTGTTACGTTCCCGATGGAGTGGCAGAAGGTGGGGCTAACAGCGGGAGCTCACCCCACTCCTCAGATTCAAACTGCTGACCTTTTGGTGGGCAAGTTCAGCAGCTTAGCAGTTTAACCCGCTGCACCACTGGGAGCTCCAGAAAATGCCTCAGAGTTGCCAAAACCTGGAAATGACTCAAAGGCAAAAAATAACAGTCCATAAGCCTCCAGGAACATGATGATAGGAGACATTGACAAACAAAAAATGATGAAAAGCGGAAAGAGACAACAATAGAGATGATGACAGAAATGAAGACAAATAGGGAAAAATAAATACTAACAATAGCAGCTGAATGGCACAACATCCAGGTTCCTTCCTAAGCTGCCATATCTTCCAATATTCACAAACAAAAAACCCAGATTTATGTAGCCTAGCGACTTGAAAGTATTTTCAGATTGGGAAATACTATTCATGAGGAAGAACAGAAAAGTACAGCAGTTTGCTTTTGCCTGAGACTTCTTGGTAGTATTCTCGTCTCCCCTCTGCAAAGTTAACTGAATGCAAACTAGTACCGCACCTTAAACTTTGTTTGCAGCAACTGAAGTAAGTAAAAGACAAAAGGTGAAAGTTAGGGGAGGAGAGAAAAGCCACGGCATTTTAAAAGTATCTAAAAAGGTGGGATGATAAAGGATTATTGGATTTATGTTGTCAAAGGCTTTCATGACCAGAATCACTGGGTTACTGTGAGTTTTCTGGGCTGTGTGGCCATGTTCCACAAGCATTCTCTCCTGGTGTTTCATACAAACTATCTATAGACCCATTAAAAAAATCCAACAAATGCTACATTCAGCAAAGGACAAGAGGGATCTTCTCACCTCTGCAGGAGCCTATTGAATACCATGCAGCTCTGGACAAGTCTACGTAGGGTT